TACTCGATGGAGTCTTGAACCAAAACCTTGGATCCGAACAAACCTCAGTTGTGGAGGTGTTCCAAATGTCAGTCCAGATCCAGACATAAAATTTGCAAACAATCCCCCTTTTTAAAAAAAATAGTGACAGAACCAAAACCCTGGATCCAAACATCCAACCTTGGATAGAAATTGGACGGAACTTTGTGACTTAGACCTACTGCTTGGCCACATACTGAGGGTATAACAGATCCCTCTCTTTTTATGTTCTTTACATAATGACAGTGCATGGAACCATTTATCTACGTACAGCTGCAGCTAACATGGTAGGCATGTAAGCAACCAGAAGGGGGCAGCCATGATTAACCAGAACAAAGTATATGCCAAATTAAAATAACCACCAAACAATTTAGAGACGATTTAGTTTTGTTATTCTTAATAATTCTTCATATACTGTATCCAGGCTTCTAGTGGGTTTTAAATAAATTACACTGGAAAATTGCACTAAAGAATTACATAAACAAGAGACAAACCCAAGTATAAGATGCCACTATGGCTGGTTTTAAAATGAGAGTTAAAGCATAATCAACCCTAGATGTCAATTCTAGTGTTCTTAATGATGTGAGCCAGATTTAATTTTCTCTGAGGAGGAGTATGTGAGCTACCTGCAAACACTGAACTCAGACAGCTGATTTTAAAAATTCCTTATTGCTATATTTTAGCTTAAAGGATAGAGTGAGGGATAGCCAGAACAAACTGAAAACCTTGATGAGTTATATTGCATAGGTTTGAGTCAGCTTGCAAGATCAGTGTGGTGACGTGTATATTTTTCTTTCAGTTAGAGCATACATTATATTCCTCTGTGTTATGCCTCGTAACAGTTAGTCATATACAGATCCCAATGCTGTAAACAAGCATATGCTTAACTTTGCTCGCACAAGTAGTCCCAGTCCCACTGAATCCGGAGAGACTGAGTGGAAGTGTTTGCAGGATCGGGCCCACAGTGTATCACATGTTTATTTTATAGTCTATTCTTTATAACAGAGTCCCTGGATTGATTGTCTAGGTCAGCAGTTCCCAATCTATGGGTCATGAGTCATGACCCCACCCGAGGTCATGCCAAAATGGTAGCCTCCATGCTGTCTGGGGTTGCGGAAAGCAACAAAGTTTGGGATTATGCAGACAAAAAGTTTGGGAACCAGTGATCTAGGACCTGATCCTGCCTCCCTGAGGTCAGGGCCGGCTCCAGGGTTTTGGCCGCCCCAAGCAGCCAAACAAACAAAAAAACCAACCAAACAACAACAACAACAAAAACCGCGATCGCGATCTGTGGCGGCAATTCGGGGGAAGGTCCTTCGCTCCGAGCAGGAGTGAGGGACCGTCCGCCGAATTGCTGCACGTGCCGCCCCTCTCCGGAGGGGCCGCCCCAAGCACCTGCTTGGTAAGCTGGTGCCTGGAGCCGGCCCTGCCTGAGGTCCATGGGAGCTTTTCCATTGACAGGGTTACCAACTCTCATGGTCTTATTTCAAGTCTCAACATACTTGGTGTAATTCATGAAACCTCAGCTGCTGGAATCAAGAGATTGCATGAGAAACTCATCTTTCATGAAAAAACCTGGAAATTTCTAGCCCTCACGGGTTGCAGAGAAAAGTTTGAAAGTGTGAAACAAGGGTACCCTAAAATCTCAGAAATCAGAAGGCAAAGAAAAAGAACCCCAAAGGTATTATTTTTTAAAATCTCCTGATTTTTAAGGCAATAATGATCTTTTGGGAGCTTCAGCTCATGATTTCTGAACTGTTGAGGTTGGCAATAATGCGACTGACTTCACTCTCTGAAGGATCAAGCCCCTAGTTCCTGTAGCCTTCAGCTCTGAATCTGCAACCACTTACGCACATGCATAACTTTTCCCAGGAGAGTTCAATGGGTCTATTGGTGTGCAAAATTACTCGTGTGCAAGTGATTGCACGGTGGTAGCAAGAGAGGATTTCCATTTCAGTTACATGAAATGTATAGCCTTTTGGCTATTAGATTTTTAAATAAGTCTCTTTCTTTTGCCCATTAGTTTGGTCAAAGCTGAGGGACTCTAATATAAGTAAGTTTGGGTTATGTCGGTTGTGTGCGTTCTGCCTTTGGAATCTCCTCTCCCAAGCGTTTTATTACATCATGCAGTTAGTAAGCAGAAGTGTGCCAGTCCCCAGCACCTGTGACTAAGTTTGATGCCCGCAGCAGAAAAGAGAGAATGGCAGTGAAATGTTAGGTGAATTGTAGTGCCTGTGAAAGGTGCTGGATTGAAAATGCTGCAGGTTGAGGTCATCTGTTTACCTCAAAACAGACACATAGGCAACGGCAATAAAAGGTCCCCACACTGCCCTATCAATTAGCTTTAATTCTGAACCAGAGGGACCAGTCCTAAGCTTTAGACAGCAATTCATTTTCTAGACTCATTGACTGCTTTACTATGGCTCTTTACTATGGCCTTGTCTATACTGGGGATTTGCCTTGATTTCAGCTCCCAGTGTAGCTATGCCAGTGCAAACTCCTAGTGTAGACAAGCAAAGACTCTATGAGCCATAATTTGCGCCTGTGCATTTTACAACCATTTCAGTTAGGGGTAAACTCTCCCAGTGCAAATAGAGGCTTGGCGTTCTACACTAGAGGCTTGCACTGCTGCAGTTACATTGGTGGCTGGCCACCAATGGCTGAAATTGGGGCAAATTCCCAGTGTGGACAAGGACTAAGAGGGCCAGCAAAACTTTCAAATGGTGGCGGCGGCATTCTGATGTGGAAACCTATTTATTAAGAAGCTGTTAAATGACAGCTCTCAGTCATAGCTAATCTGGGGCTGGATTCAAGCCCAGCTACATGAGAAATGCTTCATCTTCTATTACCAATATCATGGATCATCTAGTCTACATGTATCTGCTCTTTCTGTTAGTGTCCAATGTCCATGAAATAGGATTTTCTGTCATATTGATTAGGAACAGTAGATCAGCTGTGTGCTATTTTTAAAAAGTAGGAAAAATTTTATGCTGAAGTATACTTTTGTTATGGTTCTGTGCTGCTCCTAGGTAAATCTATATGCTATATTTTCCATGGGGATGTTAACTTTTGAGGAGACATGGTTTGAAAAGTTCACCAACGTTCTTCATCATGTGGGTTTTGTATTTTCCTTGCAAATAAAGATATATGGAACCATAGAATCATAGAAGCGTAGGATTGAAAGGGACCTCAATAGGTCTCTAGTCCAGTCCCCTGCACTCAAGGCAGGACTACATTACTAGACCATTCTTGACAGGTGTTTGTCTAACCTGTTCTTAAAAACCTCTGCTGACAGAGATTCCACAACCTCCCTAGGCAATTTGTTCCAGTGCTCACCTACTCTGACAGGAAGATTTTCCTAATGTCCAACCTAAACCTCCCTTGCTGCAATTTAAGCCCATTGCTTCTTGTCCTATCCTCAGAAGTTAACAAGAATAATTTTTGAGCAGTCTCTTAAACAAAAGTAATTTTCAGATTCTGAGAGATGTAGGCTATAGATTTCCCTTTGCTTCCCAGATAATATGAATTATTACCAATAACAACAAAACTTCATTATCAGTCTGATCCTGATGTATCAATATTTTCTTAAGAGGTAAACAATTGCTTTTGTATTTGATTAATTCTGACTTGCAATTTGATAGTATGGTATTTGTAGTCAAGTTGAACACTAAAGAAACTCGAAGCCTTAATGTGATACCATTCAAGCTCTCTTGAAGTTCCTATCTACACTGGATATTTTCTTTTAAATTTCCCACTGTTGTTACCACCAGTTCAGCTTCACTAGTGATAACAAAGCTGGGAATGCTAGTATAGACAAGCCACCAGAGCTTTAACCCCTGGCTCTGAACTGGTGTAGATAACACAGTGGTTAAAATACAGATGGCTGGTGTTGACTTATTGCCTATATGTTATACAGGAATTTAAATGGCATCAGATACAGGTTTTTGGTTTCTTTAGTATTTGCTTGGTTACAAATACTGTACTTTCAAACTGCCAGCCTTATTCAAGATTTTTGTTATGACTTGAATACCTTTCAGCAGGTTGTTTGGTACATTGTTGGTCATCGGGCAAATTTTTCAGTCAATACATAGAAGTTCTTGCCAGATCCAAAGATATGAGCTATGTTCACCAATCCTAATACTAATATTTCTATTTTTTTCTGGGAGGAGGTATTAAAATGATCACTGTAGAATAAAGGAGAAATGGAGGGTTCTTTGGCTGTGGGTAAGTTTAATATTATTATGTAAGCGGAGAGCTTAATGTCCTCCAAAGAGATTTGCTTACTTCTGACCTTCTTTAGACAATGCTCACATCCAGAGATGGGAAATGTGCAGCCTGTCTGTCAGTCCAGTAGATGCCTCAAGTGAGGTACCTAAATCCATAGTTAGGCATCTGTATACAGGTGGCATGATATTCAGTGGTGCGAATGCCTAACTGGATTTGAGGAACCTCACTTGTAGACACCCAGGCTTGAAAGTTTTCTTCCACGTCTCAAATTCTTCTACAAGTTATCAAAAAGTCTGGCATTACATCTGAGGGAACGGAAAATAACCCTGTCAGTTACTGTAGACAAGGAAACCAGCAAACTGCTGAACTTCGAAAATAAAGTCATGTTTTCTCCTAATTTAATCTGGGGCAGACACATCCTCCCCCACCCCTGGAAACCCCCGAACACCTTCCCCCTCCACACTATTGAGGAATCCACAGAAAGCCCTAAAATGGTCCTTATTGAAGCTCTGCAAGAGTTCTGCCCCACGCATACTTCTCCCATTATGTCACTGTAGTTGTATGTTACAAGTTAAAACCTGCGATTTTCTAAACAATTTATGAAAAAAGCCCAACTACAGGTTGCAAAATCAGGCTGAGAGAGGAGATAAGACTGTCCTCCCACTTCTGCAACTCTCACTGTACCTAGCAATCTGCAGTATTAAAGCCATGGAAAGAATCTTTGCAACCAGCATTTAAACATCAGATCAACTTACTTTTTAAGTCTCCAACTTGACACACCGGATCTGCTCACTGTTTTCACCCTTAGAAGTAAGTGAAAGATTTTGGGGAAGTCTTAAGTTCAGTATTTTCTTCACAGATCTGTCTGGGGCTGGCTTCGGTACCAAGCTGGTTAAACCAGAGCGTATGCTAAGAGCACACAGACTATTTGCATTTTCTTTGGTCGTTTAAGAAACCCTCTGTAACGATCCTCCCTTAAGGCAGCTCTTTGCTGTGAAAGGAGGCAGCATGTGGCTATTGGCTCATGCTCAAAGGGGAAGAAGAAAACAGCCCACAAAAATATCTAAATATTTGTAGTTAAGTGAAAGTCACCTCATGACATTTTTCGGGTGCGGGAGGGGGAACAAAAACAAAAAAGGAGAGAGAGAGGCTTACAAGTGCGTCTGGCTCTTCTAGGCTGCAGACTCCCAGCTGCAGGAACTATATGGAGCTGAGACTTCTTCTGCTTTAAAAGAAGAGCAGCTTGTGTCCCTCCCCAATTCCTGTGGCTAGGGAGTGGCTTAACCCTATCAGCAGTGTAAAAAAATAAATAACTTTCCCGCAACTCATTAATTCAAAGAAACAGATAGTTTAGACAAGCGGATCCCTTTATCTGGAATGTGGTGGCAGTGAGTCCAGAACAGATCAGAGGGTGCCTTTGAGTTTGTCTTTTCCAGATACCTTTTCCTGTCCCCTTTCCACACCCACTGTCCTGAGGCTTCCCATTTTTGCTACCTGTTTTAAAAACTAAAAGTGCAAAGAACTGCTGGACAATCTTGTACGACTCCATCAAGGGTCCCTATCTGGGAAATGGAAACTCTGTAGCATGCTCTGAACTGGCCATGGGCTCAATAAGGTAACTCATACAGTGGGCTGGGATTGTCAAAGGAGCCTAAGGAGTCTGATGGCAAAATCCCACATTTCTAAGGGCTTGTCTACATGGGACACTACTGTGTGACAAACCAGGTGTGAGTTTACAGGGCACTAGCTTGCCACGCAGTAAGGGACAGTGTGAATGCTGCTACAGTGCACTAAAAGTCCCAGAGTGCTCTTTGACTTACCATGCTTTAGTAGCACCAAAGAACACTCTGGGACTTTCAGTGCAGCTGTGTCCAGTGCTTAATTTGTAATGAAAGAGGTGCCGGGGCTATGAACAGCCAAGCCTAGAGGTGCCGGGGCAATGAACAGCGAAGCCTAGAGGTGCCGGGGCTATGAACTGCCAAGCCTAGAGGTGCCGGGGCTATGAACTGCCAAGCCTAGAGGTGCCGGGGCTATGAACAGCGAAGTCTAGAGGTGCCGGGGTTATGAACTGCAAAGCCTAGAGGTGCCGGGGCTATGAACAGCCAAGCCTAGAGGTGCCGGGGTTATGAACTGCCAAGCCTAGAGGTGCCGGGGTTATGAACTGCCAAGCCTAGAGGTGCCGGGCTTATGAACTGCCAAGCCTAGAGGTGCTGGGGCTCAGCCTTGGCAAGCCCCGACACAAATTAAGTGCTGGCTGTGTCCAAATGGGATGTTACTGTGAAGCAAGCTGACACATCGCCGATTCACGCTGGCTTGCTAGGCAGGAATGGCAGACAAGCCTTAACACCCTATGGTGCCTCTAAAAATCTAGCCCACATAAATACGCATGGATAACGATTTGGACCCTCATATATAAATCACATAGGTTTTGAGACAAGGCAGGAAATTCAAAGTTAAGGCTTAGATTCTGTCCTGCAAAGGGGAATAATAGATTTGTGCCCCATTTTGCTGCTTTATGCTGGATAAAGAAGACCCGAAAGGACTTTTTAGAGTATTTTTAATCCAACCTTATCCTCCTCATTTTTGCAGGAGCTCTCCCTTGTGCATCCAGAGGCGTGGATCAGGAGCTGGCTCAGTCCTTAATTGAACAGGACTGTCGAATCATTAGCAAGGAGATCTTTTCTTCCTGCCCAGAGGGTGTTTGACTTAAATAGATATTCACAAAAATAAGCAGGGCTCAGGAGTCTGAGTAAAAAGCACGCTCCCTCTCAATTGCACAGTTTTCACTCCTTGGTGCCTGTGTGGCTCTAATCCTGTTTGTTTCCCAGCCATCCCGAGAGCTTACCTGGAAAAACAGAGTAGATGAGACTGCAGTTTCTGATTTAAAAATCAGAACTTGTGCATGTATAATTTAAAATCTCAGACTGTCATCTAGCTTATGAAGCAAAGAGGGTCCAACCTCAATTTGTTTCTTTGTATGTGACTAAGACATACTAGAAAGCAAGGGGAACTGGAAGCACAATGGAGTCATTCCATTTCCTTCTCACTTGCAGCAGAGCAATCATCCCCTTTGGACAGTGTAACCGTGGGAAGGCCCTCCAAGGCGACATCTTCAGTGCAGGCTAATCATGAGTTAAGCAGTTCCAGGTTAGCCTATCACACTACAGCATGACCACACTGTCCTTATCGGCACACTGCTCTCACTCCCTGCATCCGCACTGGTGCTGTAACTCAGTGATAAGCAAGCCGCTATCTAGGCGTGTGTAAGCCAAGATTCATTGTGCCACACCTCACTGCATCTCTCTGCACTCGCATTCGCAAGGTGCTGTAGGGCAACTCGTCCACTCACTCAGGGCATTGTGGGAGGAAATCATCTAGATCTGGGAAATTCAATTCTTGGCAGGCCCCAGGCTGGTGTGGTGGTATGCTGTGTCATGCTTAAAGTATGAATCATGCTCCTGTTAATAACTAGTGCTTTTATAACTAGTGCTGGTTTTTTTTGTGTGCATCTGCAGAAGCTGTTGCCAAGAGACATTGATGGGTGTTTCAGAGGCTGCTCTTGACCTGAAGAAGGTGAAGGCAGAGGCTTACAAGCAGAAGGGGACCAGGTGAAGATGGAGGTGTGGACACGCTGATGCTGTTTTTTTCAGCAGATTCCCTCCTCTGCATATCCTCACTTCCGGATCAAGACCGCAAGCATACACTGGCAGGACCACATTGTAGTGAAAACATGGGATGACCAGCAATAAACCCAGAAATTTTGCACAAGGAGAGCCAGATTCCTGGAGCTGGGTAAGGAGCTTGCCCCAGCCCTTGAGTAGCAAAGCACCCTGGTAAGAGAGTCAATAATGCTCCAGAAGCATGCTTCTATCACCTTGTGAAAGCTGGCAACCCCAGATGGCTACAGATCTGCTGGTAATCAGTTCAGGTAGGTAAAACCACAGCTAGCAAAGTGGTCATGGAGGTTTTGCAAGGCAGTTAATGCTGTGCAGGCCTCCATTGTTATAAGGCTTGGAAAAATCCCTGAAATAATGGCAGGGCTTGAACAGCTCAGCTGTGCAAGTGTAATCAAAGGCATGTATGTACCCATCCTATGCCTGTCATTTCAAGCAAATACATACATTTACAGGAAAGGAATGGGGATACTACTCCAGATACACTGACAGGCAGGGTGCATGATGCCACAGTGTTCAAGAGGGCTGGCCTTTTCAGCATGGGGAATGGGCAAACAGTATATGTTTCCCCCTTATTACAGTCATCAAGCTGCTATCTGTGACCCAGCATACTTTCTGCTGCCTTTGTTGATGATGGCTTATCCTGATATGCACCAGCCAGGCAAGAGGCTGTTTAACTACATGCTGAGCCAATGCAGGATGTGGTGGAATGTGCCTTTGGCTGTCCGAAAGCAGGATTGTGCTGCTCATTGACTAAAGCCAGTGGCAGGATGCATCGCAGCTTCTGTTTAAAGGTTGACCTGTGTAAGTCCTCTCAAACTGACATATCAAATGTAGTCAGAGGAATCCTTTGAAATCTGGTGTGCCTCAGGCCAGCGCAGAGTAGGGTTGCTTACAAACTTTTTGAAAAAAGCTGTGAGTTTTGTGGTTTCTTCCCATCCCCTGCAGAGCTAGAGATCAAACAATTGATGTGATGGGGGTCAAAATGGCCTCTAGCTGTCAAGTTTTACCCAAGGTAGGGCCTGGCACCCCTTAAATCTTTGGGGGATCTAAATTGAGACTGGTATTTAAGAAAAAGCACAGAGTTTACAATGCAATGAGCCAATACAGAAAAACATCTAGAGGGTTTCCATTCCCACCAATGTATATGTTTTACAGCTTAAAGAACAGGACTACTTGTGGCATCTTAGAGACTAACAAATTTATTTGAACATAAGCTTTCATAAACACTCTAACATTTGAATGGTTATTTGGATTGCTTTGAAATTCTGTATGCCTCATGGGGGTGTGTGATAGCATGAGTGACCTAAATTTCGGGTCATTTGTCCAAGGGGCTCCTGGGTTACAGCCCTCCAAATAGAGTTTCCTTCTGTTGCCAAGAACCTTCTGCTTCCTTCTTCAGTTTTCTTCTGCTGCCGAGAGGTACTAAGGACTGCATGAATCACAGACCTTGTTGAGACTGATGGCTGTGAACTCACCCTTCAGTTAACATAACTATGGATACCTTAATCCCAAGTCCCCACCTAAGCCAAAACAAGTTTTGGACTGAATAGCTGGAGGTTGCTACAATTTGTGAGTCGTGGGTGGCAATTTTATTTTGAGGGGAATGTAGTCAAAGTATTTGGGGGAAAATACTGTTTCCCGGGAAGGGAAGGACATTAGTGGCAGAGGAGAAGAGGGGTTTGGGGCTGGAGCAAGTGAAGTTTTACCTAAGGTAGTACATGACACCCACTAACATTTGGGGAACCCAAATGTGAACAGTATTTAAGAACATACTCACTTTTGTGCTTGTGTAAATATGCAGTTTGAAGGATTACAGTGTACACATTCCAACACAAAAGGGAGAGGGTTTTTATGCAGCCACTTTGTGTATGCTTGGGTAGTTTGAGGGAATACTCCACCATTGATGCTTCTAGTCCAAACCTTTGTACACCCATGCAATGAAGATTTAATAGTTCATGTTGCTTGCTACAAGTTGTCTGTTATAATATTGTGTGTTTTTATTTTTTGGGGAGGCTTCCTGTGAGCATAGCAGAAGAGTCAGCAGCCAGTCTAACCACAATTTGTGTTATATCAAGTGGGAAGGAGCCAGAGAACTCTGTGGAGGGTGGGGGAGGGTGGGGAGGAGGGGGACAGGGACAAGGAGAAGACTTGCAGCTGTAGAGGGGGCAGGACATGAGGGAAGGTGGTTAAAAAGTCTTGGATTATTTATTTGAGAAAATCTGTATTTTATTAATCCCTGGAGGGGGTTTAGGACAGGGTGAAGTGGTTACTTCCTGATCTCGGGGCTGCTTAATATGATGTTTCCAGAAACACACAGCGTGGAGATTTAGAACTGACAGCTCAGACATCTTGACCACCCAGGGTGGTCAACATGTGGATTCTGGGTGATTCCTGGCAGGGCCAGCTCTAGGATTTTTGCCGCCCCAAGCGAAAACAATTTTGGCCGCCCCTCCCCCCCGTTTTTTTCTTAC